ATTACAATATAACGGTTTGGTTTGGTTCGGTTTAAATAAAAGTTATAAAGGAAACCAAACCAAACCAAACCAATTTAAGACGGATTGGTTCGGATTGGTTCGGCCGGTTTGGGCCTAAGCCCAATTCTATTTCTTTTTGCCTTTTTTCAACATTGTTAGCCCAATTATAACCAAAAAAATCACAACTTGCTTCATACAAAAATCATTTTCTAGAGTACGAAACCATCCTAAAGCTCAAAATGTCATAAAACTTTATATTTCACTAACTAATATAGCTCAATTCAAATATTCATATATAGTTATTAATTAATTAGAGTATTACACATGTAAAATAAAATGGCTTTTTATCACAAATGGTCCTTGACATTTACGAAATTATCACGAATGGTCCTTGAGGTTTTTTTGTGACACTAATAGTCCTTAACGTTTGGACTTTTTATCACAAATGGTCCTTGCCGTCAAAAATTCTGTTAAGTGTATGATGTGGAAGATAAGTGGAGCCCACATGTACAATCACATCGTAACATGTGGATTAAATAAATAAATAAATATTTTTTTTTTATGAAAATCCATTAAAAAACCATTTAGCCTCTCTCTCTCTCTCTACTCTCTAAATGGTTTTTTTAATGGATTTTCATAAAAAATATATATATATTTATTTATTTATTTAATCCACATGTCACGATGTGATTGTACATGTGGGCTCCACTTATCTTCCACATCATACACTTAACAGAATTTTTGACGGCAAGGACCATTTGTGATAAAAAGTCCAAACGTTAAGGACTATTAGTGTCACAAAAAAACCTCAAGGACCATTCGTGATAATTTCGTAAATGTCAAGGACCATTTGTGATAAAAATAAAATATAAATAAATAAATATACACATAAACGGTCCGGTTTGGTTTAAGCCGATTTACAAAAGCTCAAAACCAAACCAAACTAATCTATATACGGTCTGGTTTGGTTTTTAAACCGTTTGACTTTTTCTTGGTCAAAACCAAACCAAACTGGTAATTATGGTTCGATTCGACCAGTTTCATCGGTTCGGCCGGATTGATGCCCACCCCTAGTCCTATTGGTGCCACATCAGCTTTTTTAACAGAATTTTTAACAGACTTAACGATGAGGAGCAAAGTGATACACAAAACATCGGTCAATGGGGCAAAGTGAGTCACTTTAATTTTAAGGGGGCAAAGTGAGAATTGACTAATATTTCAAGGTGTACTGTAGCCATTAAGCCTTTATTTTATTGAATGACAAATGCACGTAGTCCTAATAATTTATGTGGTGTTTCTTGAAAAGAAAAAAAATAAAAACAAATTAAGGATGAAAAGAGAGAGTCCAAATGATTTTTTATTTTTATTTTTGCTCTGAAAACCAATTATAATAGACTGGGCAATATGCTTTTGTAATTGGAATTTGGATGTGGTGGTGTTGTATTCCTTTCCATTTCCCATCGCATCGCAAGTTCGCAACCTTGTTTTTACTAGGTAGGTCCTACTCTGCTGCACCCAGAACAAATTTATTAAGCTCACGAAACAGGAACACCGAGAGAGAGGGAGAGAGCAAAGAAGATGTTGTTTCAAGTGGGAGGCCAAGGGACTCGTCCCACCTTCTTCGAGATGGCGGCGGCTCAGCAGCTCCCCGCCAGTCTTCGCGCCGCTCTCACCTATTCCATCGGCGTAAGCTCTACCTCTATCTACTCTCTTCTTCTTTTTCTCTTTTGTAAAAATTTGATTGTTTACAACTCTCTTTGTTTCTGGGGTTTGGTAGGCTGAGAATGATCTTATCTCTAAATGTTAATTTCAACAGGTATTAGCTTTACGAAGACCCTTCCTCCATAGGGTGTTAGACTATGAAGACGAATTCTTTTCGTTGCTCATGCTAGTTCTCGAAACTCATAGCTTAAGAACTACAGGTTTTCTGATTCATCTTTTGCTCCACCAGTTACGAATTTACTTTCTTCTTCATCTGACTGATCAATGACTTTTACCATCTACAATAATTTTGTCTTCTGGGTCCTATTCTCTTCAGATGCTTCCTTCTCTGAGTCTCTATATGGATTAAGAAGGCGGGCTGTGAAGATAAAAGCCATGAAGGATGATGCTCGCCTGAACCCAGGTGATGGAATCCAGCATTCTGGGTTAGAAAAGCGCCAAAGAGTTCTGTCAGTTGTATTTTTGGTACGGTCTCCTGCTTATTGTGTTTTTGCAAGATAGGGCTATGTCGATTTCTTTTGTCTTTTAAGTCTAGCTATATGAAAGAGGACTGATTTGTGAACGAATATGTACTAGGTTGTATTGCCTTACTTTAAGTCGAAATTGCATTCAATCTATAATAAAGAAAGGGAAGCCAGACTTCAAGCAAGTTTATGGGGACACGTTGATGAAAGATTTGATGATGCTGATATATTTGATAGAGGGGAGGATTCTGTTATTCCAAGAGGAAATTTGGATATGGAAGCATCAGTTAGAACGCATTTGACTAAGAAGATCCAGAAATTTATAGGTGCTTGCTATCCTTTGCTACATGCTAGTACTGAAGGTGTGTGCATATTTCTAGCTGACCTTTATATGCAAAGAATAACTTTCATCTTTCGATTTGGATTTTGTTTTTAATTTTTTGCTCAAACTTATTTGTGAGGATATGCATGTTATGCATAAACCAGCGGTAGAAACTGAGGGAAGTTACTTAATTTGTGTAATTATAGAAGTTTTACTTTCAAAAGACTAGTACTTGCATTCTTTTTCTTTACAATAGATAATGTTGACATGAAGCTCTTTAAACTTAGTCTATTAAAAGATTATATATCTAGAGTCCCCTTAATGTTGTTATGTTTTCAATGTACGATGTTACATCTTCACAGTGAATCTATCTGTTGATGGCTTCTTAGGAGTACTCTAGGTCCTTTATCTGTATTTTACCATATGAACCTCTGGTTAGATAATACATTCTAACCTAGAACTGATGATGCAGGATTTTCATTTGCTTATCAGATGTTATACTTGTTGGATGCAACTGGATTTTATTCCTTAGGATTACATGCTCTTGGGATTCATGTCTGTCGAGCTACAGGGCAAGAGCTGGTATTGTGTGGCAAAAATTTCTTTTGGTTCTCATCTATTTATCTATTTATATTTTTCAGTGCATTTAGTCAGGGATTTTTGGTACTATATACTTTTATCCGTTGAATTTTGTTACATTTATGAGATTGAAAAAAAGAAGAAAAAATGATAGTTGACATGGCTTGGTGATGACTTCTTGTTTCTGTGTATATGATTCAATAGTTGAAATACAATTTTTTGGTGTCAAGGTAGATGGATACATCTTCTAGAATTTCAAAAACAAGAAGCCGTGAACGTGAGAGACTTCGTGGTCCTCCATGGTTGAAGGTATAACTACATTTGGTTAGTTTGGTTAATAGTTTTATTCTTAGTCATATTGATTTGAAACATGGTATGATAGTAGTTGACCTTACGTATGCAAGTAGTCTGCTATTGTTATTGTGTTTGATTAGTAATATTCCATGAGAAAAAGTACAAATTATGTAAAGATTATGAGGAAGCACTTCTGTTTGTTTGGATTGACCTTGGTTGTTCATTTCTTGCTATATGACATGAATCACCATACAGGCATTACAAGGAGCATTGCTCAGCGGTACATACACAGTGCTCGATTATGCACAGACTGGGTTAATTGCAGCAGTATTCTTTTTTAAAGTAAGCATGGCTTGCCCATATGTGATATTAAGACCTTTGTAATTATGGAACAAGCTTAATAATTTTTAATTTGACTGGTGGCAAGATTTCATAGTCATTTTTTATCACATGATTGTCATCGTAACTTTCATTGGTTTGAATTAAACTCATAGATGATGGAATGGTGGTACCAATCTGCTGAAGAGAGAATGTCAGCTCCAACCATATACCCTCCACCACCTCCACCTCCACCTCCCCAGGTGAAGTGTTTTCCAATCCATCTTGGCTTTAATTGTTTCATTTTCTTTAGAATAGCACTTCCAATCAATCTAAGAGTTGGTATGTTGCTCAAGTAATCAAGTCTAATCCATTACTGTAAACAGGTTGCCAAAGAGGGGATTCCATTGCCACCCGATAGAACTCTTTGTCCTCTCTGTTCACAGAGGCGTGCGAATCCATCTGTAATTACAGTTTCTGGGTTTGTCTTTTGCTATGCCTGCATTTTCAAGTATGTTTCTCAGGTGAGGCCTTCAGAAGCCGTTAATTTTAATTTTCAATAGTCGATGTTTTATGTGGATAAACACACATTTCACATTCATTGGAAAAGTCTGACAAAGGCTGCCCTTTGGAGTGAAGTATTATAAACTGATCTTGCATACTGTCAAGTACATCACTATGCCTGCATATTCCAAGCAGGCAAAGAAAATCAGTGTTTGTGTTGTCCATGCATCAAGTTATGTTGTTTTTCCGTAGCATGTAACTGAATGTCTTTTTATGGGTCCTTATTGACACAGTATAAGCGATGTCCAATCACATTGATGCCAACCACTGTCGACCAGATAAGGAGGCTCTTTCACGATGTGTAGAAAACCCAGTTTGGGTCCATGTTTTTTTTTTTTTTAATCAAAGGAGAAATAGCACATTTCCCTTTCAGAGGATCCTGTAACTGATTCAAATATAAGGCAAAGATAGGGGAGTGATTACTGGCAAAACAAATAAATGTTGTAACGTCCCTTGGGTAAACTGTAGGCTTGGAGGGAAAACGGAAGAATGATGTGTTGAGTATTCTGTTCTAGTACCCTACATTACAGAGATTTTTTGCTTTTGCCTTCCCATGTAAGAAAATTTCTTTGTTTTAGATTTATTCATTACATATTTTTCATGAGTTGTCACAGGTCGATATTACACAGACGTACAAACTGCACCTTCAATTGATGCGACCATTTTACGCATGTTGAAATTTTGTATTTCCCTGACGAGTTCGTCTCTGTTAGTTTATTAGTTGAAATTTTCAGTACTTAATTAGTTAAATACTGAATGTAAGATAATTTCCTTATGAAAAAAAAAAAAAATAGAAAAATAACAAAATTACATAAATATCTAGCCGACAACCGGATTAGAATTTCGACCTTTGGAATTCAAAATTACATGAACATCACAAATACTGAATATCCCATCTCAGACGCCATTGCTATAATTTGTAGCTAAGCTTCAAGTAGACCAGCTCTCTCCAATTTTGCCTCAAATGCAGTAGACATCCATTTTACTTTCTGAACCACGTTTAATCATAACCCACAATTCAAAGTAATTACATAGCATTTTTTTTAAAAGAAAAGAAAAACTTTACTCTTACCTCTCTGTTTCTCCCTGCTGTTCTTGGCATTCCTTTGCAAGAAGAGCTTGAGTCTGAATCCATGGTCTGGCCAGTATGACACCAGTAGCTCCCAACAGTGCCTATGATCGGTATCTGGTCCGGACTTGGGCTTCGCGACCCTCTCGGGGTAGAAGCAGACAACTGTTTTATCTCTTCAGTTGTCCAAGCTCCTAAAATTGGCCTATCTTCACGGCTTCTGGGTGAGTTTATCACTCTCTCACAAAGTGAGTTGTTCCCCACAGAATTGTTACTGGCATTGGACTTGGGCGTGGTCTCAGATTCAACCAACCAACTTGAAAGGCTAGTGTCAACCCCAGTTACCTGGTCATCGGATTTTGGCCTGGGGCAGTGTTTTGACAGCTTCAAAGTAGGCTCTGGGCTAAAGGGTACATACCAATCTTGTTCTGTAGTTATGTTCTCCTTCTCTTGGTGCTTTGAAGCTGTGGAAGTTGCTTTCTCTTTGACCTCCTTCCATTGAGTAAGATTTTCAATGGGCTTCAGCACTGATTGATCCCTAGCGTTTTGGTTTGATCCTATTCGATTAACTTCCTGGTTAGAGGCACTGAGCTTTGGCATTGGACTGTTGACCTCCTTCTCATCTGTTTCAGCATCATAAACTTGTTTCCTGGAATCTATCGATAGCGAAAACAACGATTCAGAAGACTCTTCTTGAATTGAGATTTGCTGCTTACTATCAAAGTCATCATCGACATGTCCTTCGTAATCATCAGCTGCATCCAAATAACTTCCTTCCAAGTCTACCACATCTTCATATTCATCCTCATTGTTTTGGCAATTTTCGTATCTTTTGTTTAACGGATGAGATGGTGCTACGCTTGATATAATGGAACCCAGAATCGGTTCCATCTCTTTTTGTATTTCCTCTTTCTCATCAGAGCTTTCCACCAAGCCATTGGTGACTTCCTTAGTATTCAAATCAAACGTAACTTTCTTTTTGGCATCATTCTTTGATTGTTCTTCATTCTCCTCCTCTCTGTATACATTTTATTAAGGACCATAAATAAATCCCCACATATTAAATACCCCTTCCCATGTCAACTTTTAAAAAAAAACGTATTAAAAAAAAACCCACAAAGGCATAAACTCAATGAAAATGCTCCCAAAAAAGAAACAGAGTCAAGATCGAAGCTATAACAACGGATAGAGCTTACTTTGATTCTTTGGTGAGTTTAATGGCTTCCAAAACGTCTTCTAGCTTTGTGGGTTCAGCATGTTGAATTTGAACAACTTTTTCAGTAACTTCAAGGCTCTGCAACAAATTAATCTCAGTTAAGTAAAATCCAAATTGGGAATAGCAGAGTCTACACTACAATTAGTAAAATGTGATTATGTGAAACGGGAGGGCTTGCTTTGCTTACTTGTTGGTGTTTAAATGGAGTCACGGTGACTGATTTTTTGAGCTTTCGGCGCTTACAAGTAGTGAAACATTTTGGAAAGCACCCCATGATTAGCTGCTTTTACAGCTGACTTCTTTCGGATGCCTTTTGCTTTCAAAAGAGAGAAAGAGAGAGAGAGAGAGAGAGAGAGAGAGAGAGAGAGAGAAGAGTGGTTTAGAAAGCGGTCTTCATGGTTTAGACTTTAGAGAGAGATAGAAGAAGACTGAGGCGCAACGGTCACAAGAGAGTTTGATTGAAGAATCTGGAGCTTGAAAATATGACCGTTGAGATTTTCTTCGGCTTCATTTAAGAGAAGTTAGTTCGGATGGGCTGAGAAGAGCGAAATCTATCATTTTCATCCAGCCCAAGTTCAGTTGTTTTGGGCTTGTTTTGAAAGTCGGTGGAACACGTATGCCAATTAAATTCTTGCTTTTTAAATTGCACAATTATTTTCGTGGACCCGAATAATAACACATCAAAATTCAAGTTCACCAAACATAAAATAAATAAATATATTTTAAAAACATATGTATCAGTGTCACAAACTGACAACGAAAGGAGAGGAGACAGAGCCATTTCGAAACTCGCGAAGAATATGTTATTTTTCGAAAACGAAATAAGCCGGTGGGATCCACAAGTAGGTCCCCCAAAAATGTTTATTGTCACGGAACGCAATGTCGACAAGTGCTCTATCTTCTCTGGCGGTAAGTGGTAACTTTTTATTTTTTATTTTTTATACAAGCGATAATATATTTTAAACTAATCTAAACTACAATAAGGGGAATTCGAACTCTGAACAAAATCGGAAACACTTCCAAGCTAATCAATTTGACTAAATCCATATATGCTAGTAAGTAATATAAAATGCCCTATGAGGTACTTAATACTCTGTCTTTTTTGTTTTTTTTTTTGGGTCAATTGTACTTAATACTCTGTCCTTAGTTGAATAAAGGAAGAAACCTTGTATCATTAGTATTTGTTTAATCTAGCGTACAACTACACGTATTGTCCTTGATTCCTTGACAATGAAATAAAATTGTTCATTTGATTATTAAAACAAATATTAAAAAAAACACGCACAAGAGAAACGATACATTATATATAAATCCCAAGTGACAAAGTCTTAGTCTTGTGAAAATGGAGTTTTCATATATTTCGCAACTGAATATATTCATTAATTGTGTTTACAAGTATGAATTTTTTCTGGTCCTCTAATAATAATATTATTATCAAGAATAAGTGGTCCAACGCTAGTTTTGGGATCTTTTGGTTTACGTGTCAGTGGATAAAAAGAAATTTACCAAGTGGCTGGCCTTGTGTCAAGATTAGCATCTCATCATATCAACTTGGATTTTTCAAATTGGATGTACAAGTATAATCTATTCGCACATGCAATTACTATACTACCCTCGATGACTTTACTTTTGAGTCTTCATCAATTGATTAAAATAAATTAGTTTTCCAATCTTAGATATGCATGATTAGCAACTTGTAATAGAATGCTTTATCATATTTACAACAGATTGGCTAGTTGGAGTCATAATTTGGATCTGGATTTATATATGCTTGATGAGGCTCCTGATTGGCTTGGTTCTGTGTTGGTGGATGACGTGTTTGGATTGTCTAAACCTCGTTTGATTTGTGTTGTTTAGTTTCTTTGGTTGTTGGGGGTTCTTACCCCTCCCTTGTTCAACAAAAAAATAGAATGCTTGCCAACAACTACATAATTATAATTTCATCCAAGGAAATCAATAATAATGGAGCACCAACTAATTTTTTTTTCTTTTCTTTTTTCCTTTTTAGCCCAAATACCCAATAAATGTTAAGCTCTCATAGGACCAAAATAAAGTGGGGAAGGAGCAAGTGTAAGTGTCAAGTCTAGAACATACTAATACGCTAAATGAAGGAATCAATTAATCAAATTCGTGTGTTTTACAAGTTAAGAGCTTTTCCTAATTTGCACTCAAAACTTTATCATACAAATACAACTCATAATAATGAGAGAGGTTCATCATCAAACGTCGTTTTTGGGGGGCAGTTGGTATTTGATAATGAGCTAGAGATTATAGGTCTTGTACTACCTGCACCATAAAAACACCATCTTTTTCTTTCATTTCAATTGGGTTTGTGCCATGTGTCCACTGTGCATCACTCTATCTTAGACACTGACAGAGTCTCTTGTCATAAACTGCATAAAAATCTTAACAACGTCGAGTGGATGGCCGCGGTTGTTCGGAGATGAGATGTCTGTTTCCTTCTTGAGAAACTCAACATCTAACAACCTCCCCATTGCCACACACATCACAAATTCACACCCACAAACAAAGTCACAAACTCTCTCTCTCTCTCTCTCTCTCTCTCTGAAAGTACTGTCTTTTCTTGGTTTTGCTGAGATACCCATTTCATTTTCGGTGCTCTTTATTCTCAATTACTCAAAGGTACATATAATTGAAGACAAAACTCTTTCCAAATTTTCTGTTTTGGTGTTTGCTTTTGGCCATGCTCATCTCTTTCTCCAAAATGTTTGCTTTTCTTTTGTGGCAAGTGTCTCTCTGCATGGGCTCTCTTTATGCGTTTTGGTTTTGTTATCTATCTGTTGCTTCCGTTTCTCTTTGACATCCAAGTGAACTATATAAATTTATTTCCTTTTACTTGATACAAGAAGATATTTTGCGATTCATGGTATTCTAATACTCTCTCTCTATTATTATCCCTTTTTTTTTTGGGTATATATTTTTTACTTTAAAATGTAAAATTGTTCCCTGTGCTTCCGCAATTTCTATCTTCATTTAATGGTGTCTTTAAAAAAATATAGTTTTCGAATGTCTATCTTACTGAATTTGCTGATTAGTAATATTTTCCATCACTAGTGCAATTTTCTGGCTCGAGTTCTGCATTTCTGATAGGAAATTTCATTTATTTTTTCAGTTGGAAGGAAGATGAAGGTGGGCCACCAAAGTTTAAGGTGAAATGGATGGTTGAGATTGACAATTTTTGTGATTTTGTTCCTTCATTTGGTAGATTGGCATAAGCCCTGTTCTCACGTTTCTCTGCTTATGAAAATCTCATACACAAAAGTAGAAAGTAAAAAAGAAAATAAGATAATTAAAAGTTAAGTTGCTTCATGTGATTGCAGTGATGAGTTAGTTGGCGTCTCATGAAATTCCGGTGGAAAAAGCTTCAGAGTAGCTCTTGGGTTCTTTGATTGATCCTTAAAGGTGAAAATGGAACCATTAAATCAGAAGTCGCTTGAGAGAGCTGTTTCTCAGAAGGCTTTGCAAATGGGGAGTTCTTTTCCATGCCAAATTTGTGTGGTTGGTTTTCTGTGTGGAGTTTGTCTCACTTCTCTGTTTCTGGCTACTCTTACTTCATTTGGTACTTTTGAGTTTGGTGGATTTTCATTTTCGACCATTTCTGAGGGTGCTTCAGCTGGGAATTCAAGCTCAGAGATCATCAGTGAGTCAAATTTTCCTGATAAAATCTTCAATTCTTGTCTTCTTTAAAGTTCATTGTTTTAATGGACGTGGGTCTTTTTTGCCTTTTTTTATCTACTTGCCTTGCTTGCTTCAAATCCAAGGAAAAGGAAAGTTGGGAATGAAATAATTATGCAAGAGAGAGAAAGCAGAGAAATAAAATTTGCCAACATTAATGAGTTTGGTCATTCAGAAACTTCTTAATGAGGTTTAATTAGAAGGTGTATTCAAAGCCACTTAAAGTTAGAATGGCTTCTTCATCAACACATTTCCTTCACTTCAATATTTGACTTTGACTTTGACTATACTTGCTAGTTTAATGTCTGCTTTGATTATGAAGATAAGCCCTCCCATGACGAGGTGTAAATCTGATGCCTTAGATTCTTTCTTTTTTGGTGACCCTTGACATTAGTTCCAAAACACTCATGGCACCTCTGTGACTTCCAGATTCAATTCACACCTGCATGTGTAGATAAGAAGAACAGTGCTTTCAATCATTGGCATGCATCGAATAGTTTAACGAATTTTTTTTGAAGCAATCTATCGAAGAGATGAATTTCTGGTTTTGAATTAAAGATATGGTTGCAGGCACAAACTGCAGTTTTAAACCGCTAATCAGAACAGAGAGAATAGTTGATTCACTGAGAAGTGAAGAAATGATCAATAATGAGAGAGTCTCATTGTTGTATTCAGCTTGGAGTGCTTTACTGACTGAATCAGAGTCTGGAGAAAGTGATGACTTGCAGAGACTTGGAGTAAGCACATCCAGTGTGCCAAATGCCCCTCATTTGGAAAACTGCAAGTTAAAAACACAAGTAAATGAGCGCCTCGATAAGCGTGCAGAGAATGAGACTTATCCTCCCTGGACAAGTTGGAAGGGGTTGTTGGCCAAGTACCCAGCAGCTGCAACTAACGAGCATCAAGCTACATCTGAAGGTGCTTATGCTCCCTGGGTATGTTTCTAGGATTTGAAGTCCAATAACTATTTATTACTGTAGAACAACAATTTGGAAGAATGGGCCATATATGTCAATGAAATCATGCTTATATTTCTGATTTGTACATATGCATTTTGCACATGAGTTAATTCGTGTCTACACGCACATGTTTATTCAATTCAATAATCCAATGAAAGAACTTAAAGAGTCTTGGGTCCTGAATTTCAAGACCAGTCAGTTTTTATCAGGATTCCCCATTCTGCATAGCTAGCAAGAATGCAAAAGGAACCGCAACCCATCTGCCTCTAATCTTACATGGTTGATATGCTCCATATTTAAGCACATAATGTGCTTTATTGACATGTCTGTACATTATTAATCACTGCATAACTTTGAATTTTTATGTTGCTCTGTGTGATAAGATGTTGTGTTCTACAATCTTCCACAGTTCTACTAATATGCAAGTTTCTTCAGATTACAGGGTCTGATGACGAAAATTACCCCTTGACCAGAAAAGTGCAACGAGACATATGGATGCATCAACATCCTTTGAACTGCAGGGATCCTGGTGTAAAATTTCTTGTAGCTGACTGGGAAAGATTACCTGGATTTGGAATTGGGGCCCAGATTGCTGGAATGTGTGGACTTCTAGCTATTGCAATCAATGAAAAGAGGGTCCTTGTTACCAACTACTTTAATCGGGCTGACCATGATGGTTGTAAAGGTTAATATCACGATTCACGACATCTCACTTCAGTGGTTTTAAATGGTTTTAATTCTTATATGAAGATATTATTTTCTTGTTTTTCTATTGCTCTCATCACATAGTGAACAAGTTTGAAACATCAACATAGACCTCTTG